ATATATATATATATATATATATATATATATATATATATATATATATGAGATATTTAGATACTACAGGCGTGATCCACATTAGAGCAATATTACTGTTGACTGTTGCGCCTACGACAGGGTCTCTGTTACTGTCTGGGGTACCATTTCCGTGAATGAAATGTTTTAGCTGACAATTCTGAAAGGAAATTAGACTGCTGAATCAAAGCTTACACCAAAAATTTGAACCATGAGTTTACAACACACAATAACACATCAACGCATGGAGCTCGCCTCACCAGAATGTTTTTTTCTGCATCGAACCTTCATGAATATGAACTTGTCAGACGGTAAGCTGCACTNCTCAATCGCCACTGAAAATTTCTGGGACCTATTGGCCGAGCCGATTTACAACTATGTTAAGCTATGCAACACCGTCCACGGATTGGAAACACGTAGTATATTCATGTATGGAACAACCTGAAGTTCAGATAGATATTCCGGAACCTCAATAGAGAAATGTCTGGGCGTCGTTTTGTTACAGCAGTGGATAATAAAGGTCGGTGTGTTTTATGGCTAATTGTACCGCTTCATCATATTCCCATAGTCGATATAATGGCAGTTCACAGTCCCCGAGGCACATCTTCTTATACAAAGCAGTTTGATGAAGTAATAAGCGAATTCCGTTTGTTCTTCTTTATGCGGTCGTGAGTTGTGTCGCCGTCACATCAAATTTGGTCAGTTTGGTTACCCGAAGATTATAGAAAAACAGGGTGGATAGAATAAGATTTAGTGTGTTCTGCAGCACATTGGGTTGATGAATCCCAGTCAGTAGACATTTGCAGACAGAAATGGAAGATCGATTTCACGGCGCAGGAATTGATAGCATCCACATCTTTCAAGCGCTTAAAAAGGGATGATGCAATCGAATCAATAACATTGCTATACTCTTCGAACTTTTGGTACTACAGTTACGTAATAATGGTTTGAAATAATGAGTAGCATCAACTTCGTATCTGACTGTCATGATGGGTTTTGCAATGGATGACCTAGATTCTGGCAAATGACTTTGGGCTGTGTCCTCGATCTCACCAACTAGTTTGGAATGTGTGATAGCCAATAGTATGTTCTACCTACGCACACGTGACCGCAATTGTAGGTAAACCCGCAATCAGAGTATGAGAAAGAACTAGCGAGGCAACCATGTTCACATTTGTCTAAAACAAATTCCACGTGTAGAAGGAATAAGTCGAGGTTGAGCAGCTTGAACGGTGCGGTCTATAGCTGGCTGCGTTTTTTGGAGCGTATAATCCCCCTTGTGCACGCAAAAAATGTTGACGATAAAAATGAACTCACCGTGAAATCGATCGTTTGTTTCCAGCTGTACACGTCTGCTCATCAGGTATCACCAACTCGATTTGCTTTGCGTTTCTTCTACCTTTTAATCTCAACGAATTGATAAGATCTAATAAAATGTTAATATCTCGCAGCACCCATCTCTATCGGTCTGATTTGTGACTGCGTTTCTTCAAATAAAGATCATCAAAAACCACAATTCGACTAATTTCGCTTTCCTTTCAACGGAAACCGATCTGGTGTCTGCTTCTTCGTCTTTGTTTGCCCTGAGTTGTGCCACTAAGGACCTGGTGTGAATCGTGACCATTCCATTCATGAAATGTCCATGCAGCTCTAACAGCATCCTTTACTGTACAGTTTAATATTCAGCAACATTTGTTGAATATTATTTGCATTTTATTCACAGCTACTAGTGAGAAGTGGTGTGGGATAATTGATATTGATTGATTAGAACTGACTATCCTTTGGACTTTACGTTTACGCACAATCTTCCGTTCATCGATTCAACCGTACACTCTGAAGCACTAGAGTTGATTTTCACTCTTGTCAGAGCTCATCAGTGGTGCATATTCACCGTCCCGCACGGGATCTGAACTCTGGACCCATCGCATGGAAGGTGTGTGCGTTACCACTGTGTTGTGGACGGGACGGTGGGTATGCCCTACTGATGAGCTCTAGTAATAGCGAAACTCGAGTCTATTGCTTCCGAGTGTATGGTTAAATCGATGAACTGAGGATTGTGAGCGAACGTGAAGTCCAAAGGATAGTCAGTTCAAATCAATGAATATTATTTAATCATCGAAATAGTGTCGAATTGGAAGCCATCAGTCACATTCACATGACACGTGCTGTTCACACCGGCAGTTGACAATTGCTCAATCGGTCATTGCTGTCAGTTATCAATGCGATCAGGTTTCACAGATGAGCTAGATACTTTCAATTTGTCATTCGTGTTACCAAATTGAAAATGCATACTACAGCAGGACCAAAAGAGAGTAAAAAGTTGACACGCATGCATTCGCAAGTGTGCATTAGCTGACTACCCGTGCAACATCTGACATTCGTCGCGCATTAACACGAACAGTCACCTCTGCGTAGTGGTGTGAGACAAGTGCTATTGGTTTGGAGTGAGCATCCTTCCTCGTTCATCTCAATCCGATAACACTTTAGACTATTCGTGTCAGGGCTCATTCGATGGGCAAATTAGCCAGTTCACATGGGGATTCCAAGTCCGACTACCGGACACGTGTGTGTTCACTAGCTCACATCGAGGGTCGACATGAATGAGAAAGCTGAACCACACACACACACATACATTCAACAAGCTTTACGGGGTTGGACAAATACACACTCAACAAAAGTACACACTCACATCGAAAACTTCCGAATACAGAACGGCAAAGGATGGCTGAGCAGCTCCGGCGACCAGGCTACTGATACAACCACCGATGATATAGCCCATCTCGGGTCGATTTATGCGCAAAGTTCGACCGAATAAGGTCTGTCTGACTGGGTGCTATTTGATGCGGGGAACAGTTCAATGAGAACAAAGCAATGTATAAACAAAAAGCACACATGCATGAATGGGTTTGAAATACCAGTCTGACAGAGCAAGCAGAAAGTAGGATGATTCCGGACGCTCGAGCCCAGATGAAATGAGAAAGGTTTTATTACCATGAAACAATATTTAGGAACACTTCCGCGAGCAGCAATCCATATCGCATTGTATCACAAATATGATATGTTGCAGTTCCGAGGCGATGGGTGAATAAGTGCATTTAATGTAATCCAGTTGCTAGATTGTGTTTACCACTCAGGTGTAATAAATGTTTTACAATACCGCTTCGATTCATTGTAGAAACGTTTCTTATCATCAATACTTTCCACTGAAAAGTTTAAACACAGCAATGAGAAATCATTATGTGCATGCTTACTCATATTTAGTTAATTTTTCCGACTTTTATTTATTATTATCCTGACATTCAGAACTAAAACGGATCCTGACCTCTTCCGTTAGTCACATTCACTGTTCCCACAGATCTCCAGTAATCAGCAACAATTCGGGAACAAAATGTATCTCTAAGATTCATCCGAACAACTTTGCTAAATTTGCGTTAAAATCGGAAATACCAATGTTTTTAACTTCTATAACCACAATTTTCTTGTCGAAAAATTAACTCAGTGGTCTGTATGCAAGACCCCCTTTCTCTATCATCTGATTCCTCGATCTTGTTCCAAATAACAAGCGAAACCTCTCTTTCCCAACGACTGTATTGGAAACAGGGTGTTAGATTGATGTTACTTACTGACCAATGTTGTGAGGTGCTACTTACATTTTGAGAGTAGTACACTAAAGGATGAGGTTGGCGGTTTCATTCAACGATCAAAAATGGACTAGAGTTCTCAGAACGAATTCCTGTGTTCTGAATGATGACTACGTCCTATATCATTCATTATCCTGTGTGCCCCTGGAAATTGCGATGACATGTTCAAAATGAGGTATCTTGTTTTATGTACGCCAAATTATCTATACCATAACTCTAGATCGCAAGGAATGACTCTCCTCGAGCCAGCATCGTCTTGCGAATTCAAAACACTAATAATAACTGTAGATGACTCCCTGGAAAGAATAAACCGGCTTGCAAATATCTCTAGTAGCCACTGCCCATGTCTGGTGAATGGCGGAAAGGTCGTTTCGGATGCTGATCCAGTTGGTTCTCCACGGACAAATCAGTGCACCATCTGCAGACCAAGTTGGTCTTCGTCTTCGAATAAAAAGTAGGGCATGATGCTTTTCATATCGCTGGTATCGAGTCTTGGTTAAGTTGATCCTTAACAGCACAAGCTCCCAAGAAAGTAGGATAATGCTGGCACGTTGACTCAAAACTATTGTCTGTCCTTGTTGATCCGAAGTGTGAAAGAGTCAATAAAATTATCTGCACCGAGAATTTTGATGCCACTAGAACCGGAGTTGGTAAACCTGACTTTCGAAAAATAGACAATGTGAACGTAGCAGTCGTGCAGTGTGCACATAGTCATGGCCTGGCTTCCGATGGTCAAAAGAGTTCCTAC